ATATACACATAGGCGCATACACCTACAGTATTTCCCACTGCCTATGCTGCCAAACTTCACTAGACTGCTAAAAGATCTACTAATGAAAGATCTGTGAGGGTTCTTGTTTATCCAGGTCATAGTATATCTAGTAACAGGTAATATAGTTCAACTGGACTTGCTCTGTAATGTTGAAGATGGTTTACACCTCTCATCCTGTTCTTGGGCAAGAACATCTGCTTTTCCATGGTGGCTGGATCATGGCTTTTCCTGTGTGGATATAAATTCTGGGATAATTTGCTGACACTAAATAGAACTGAAGAATTGGATTGGACAAGCTACAAAAAGTCTTCAACATTAAAGAACAAGCCCAGCTGAATGTGATATTCTGCCAAAGTCATTTGGGAAACCAACACTTTCTAAAGTATCAATCTTTTGTCCGCCAAGCTATTACTGGTTTGTCCCTTTCACATCCCACCATTACAGGAGACATTAGTGGCCTGATGTTCAGCAGGAGAAACCAGTGAGGGCTGTGGAGGACCTATGAGATTGAGTCTCCCATGTTGCTTTCCCAAAGTACTTCAGTTGAATTTTTCTCAGAATCAGAGCAGAGTTTGGCTGCACAGACAATAGGAAAGATGGATATATTTATATCCAGTCTTCTTTTTGTGTATCATAAACAGTTTTTTTTTCAAGTGATTGGTGCCCTCTCTTACCAAACATGATTTATACAAGGGGCTGGATGGAACTCAACTTTCTGTGTCAAAGCATCCTCCTAGGGTGCTCTGGTATCTGTCTATCTATCTTCAAAGTCTAGCTTTATCTGTGAGAGTTACTGGGTTTTGGAGCACCTGGGTGCTTGAACAGATATCTCACGATGCATGCAATCAAGTGTAAGTGAATGACGTACTCTCTTGCTCATATCATACCCTGAAGAAACACCAATTGCTTGATGTCCTTGCATTTGTTTTTGTCTCCAGTCCTTCACACAAGGCTAAATCAAACTTGTCACCTGGGTGCAGATGCATTCCTCAACTATATATTCTCCATCATGGAGAATCCATCAGGATCATTTGGCATTGTAATGGTCATGGCAATTGGGAAAACCAGAAATGTGGGTGGGGAGATAACACCACTAACAGACAGAAGTCAGTGGAAGATTCAGTTTTGTTAGCTAATACAAAAAAGTAAAATGAGACAAAAAAAATAAAATGCTTGGTTGGAAATGCCCTTTAGAGGGAAACTATAATCTTTTTGGGTCAGATGTATGCATTTTTTTAACATGTGTGGTGAACATCATTGGTTATAAATAGGGCAAATAGTTCAGTAAACACTATTTCTGTTAGACATTAGCAAATGTGAATGTTGCTTGATCTGTTTAATGTCTTGTGTTGTAGAGAATAACTAATATACCAGTGAATGACTGATAAAAAAAAAAAATCCCTTTAAAACTACATTTAATATGTGGCAAAGTGTTCCCAAAGTTTTATGGGCTATCAAAATAGAGAGCATAGCAGAGAACCAAGTGTAATGCCCTATAGGTTAGGTTGGATTTTTTTTTTTGTTATATATAGGCCAAGTAGCAGCCTAGGGATGAGTCAGCCTGGGAGTGAGGTAGTGAGGTTACCCAGGAAAAGCTCTGAGGCTCAAACAGGTCAGGGCTTCAGGAGCCCTCCCACCTTTCCAGAAACCTGAGTACTTGCTGGAGGAGGGGTGGAGAAGGCCCAGATCTACATGTTTGAGGGACTTCGGACAATCCCCTGGCAGGAGGCAACCATCAAATGTGGCAGAGCCTGTGGGGAGGTGTGCAGTGTCAGGTGGAAGATGGATTGAAGAAGGCTGGAGCATGGAGCCCGGGAGGGGGTCCCAGGGAGGAGAGCCCAGGTGGTAGGCACAGGGGGGTTGCTGGAAAAGAGAATCTACAGTGTCTTATTGTCTCCCGGGGAGGACAGCCTTTGTAGAAGGGAAAGAGCCAGCCCAGCGTAAGGCCTGAAGGCAGCCACTCACCCACCAAGCTAACAGGAGAGGACAGTGTGAGTACAAGTGAGGTGCAAGACCCAACTAGCTTCTCATTTGGGACTGTACTAAGCTAAGAGCTCTTGGGCACCCTTGCCCAGGGATACCCTCAGGCAGCTGGGTGAAGAGGAGGAATCATCTGAGGTCTGAGGAGGTACACCTAAGAGTCTTTTGTGCTCTTAAGGAAAAGATTGTTGCTAATCCAAATCTTTGTATACAGTTGTGCAAAGGAGTTGTCTTCAAATTCCGCAGTTCCTCAGGCATCCCATATACCCCTAAACCCCATTCAAGTTCCTAATCTCTTAATATTTATTTATTTATTTCAGGTACTTATATAGCGCCATCATATAAAATCACAAAACTAAGTTCAAGGACTGTTCTTTGACTCCAGTGTGCAAAGTGTGGGAAATGCGTAGTGCCTGGCTATGCAGAGAATAGGGGGACCCAAAACAAATCCAACAGCCCTACCGAGGGTAATGCTACGCTAGCTTTGCAGGTCCCTTTCTCTAATTGAATTCTGGAACTCAGCTGATAAGGAAAAGGTCACTGCTGTGATGACCGACAATGCTAATGATGAAAAAAGAGACTAGAGTTAACCTGTGGCTACATAGAAGGCTACATAATAAAATGAAAAAATGTAACCTTAATAGTAATATTAAAAATGTACAGAACCACTATACAGCCCCTTTAAATAGACAAGACAGACAAAGCTTACCTGCGTAGAGATAGAAATAAGAGATAGAAATACATTTTAAAACCATTATTATATCAATAATCAGTTTCTGCCAAAAATCTGAATATACATGATTTATCTCACATTTTCTCTGTGCTTATTGGGACAGATCAAGAGTGTAAATAATTTTGTAACAAAGGACAGGTCCTTGTGTAATTGAAGCACCTTGGTTACAAATTAAACCAGGTGTACCTACTGAAATATAATCTGTCCCTGTGTTTTTTTCAGATGGGCAGAGTTGGACCCCTCTGTTGGCATCATCAGTAATTTATAAATACATAGCAGCACAGTGCTCAGAGAAAATGAGGGATAAATCATGTATATTCAGATTTTTAGCAGAAACTGATTATTGATATAATAATGGTTTTAAAATTTATTTCTATCTCTTTTTCATCTTCCTTTGGCCAGGTGCAAAACACACCGCTGGAAGATGCGTAATGTAGCCAAAAGGTCCTGTCTTCCCATAAACCAAAGTGCTTTATCAGTGCTGCATATTTCAGTTGTCCTATGGTTTACCTGCATAGTGCCTCTACTTATCAACCTGGCCTGGATTCTGAGCACTGGGCTGCTATGTATTTATACATTCCTGAGGATGCCAACAGAGGGGCTCAAAGTTTCCAACTCTGCCCATCTGAAAACACTGGGACAGATTATATTTCAGTAGGTACACCTGGTTTAATTTGTAACCAACGTACTTCAATTACACAAGGACCTGTCATTTGTAGCAAAATTATTTATGCTCTTGATCTGTCCCAATAAGCACAGAAAAAATGTGAGCTAAATCATGTATATTCAGATTTTGGCAGAAAACTGATTATTGATATAATAATGTTTTTAAAATGTATTTCTATCTCTTTTTCATCTGCCTTTGGCCAGGTGCAAAACACACCGCTGGAAGATGCGTAATGTAGCCAAAAGATCATGTCTTCCATAAATCAAAGTGCTTTATCAGTGCTGCATATTTCAGTGGTCCTATGGTTTACGATTGCTGGACAGTATGGATGTAGTACAATAAACATGGTATTTCTTCTTGTTGAGTACATTGTAGGGGAACTTGAAGATCAAAGTTAAGGGATTAGCGGCTTTGTTTCAATACCTTGTATTCAACTGCCACCTTGTGGCCAATTAGAGGCATTATCCTACTGCTTTGTTGTCATCCAGGTCTGGTAGACTATGGGGGAGATTTACTAAAACTGGAGCACGCAGAATCAGGTGCAACAGTGCAAAGTAACCAATGTACTTCTAACTTCAGCTTGCCCAACAAACCTTTGACAATACAACATAGAAGCTGACTGGTTACTATGCACAGCTGCACAAGTTTCTGTGTGCTCCAGTTTTAGAAAATCCCCTCCTCTGAGTTCCATTTTTTGACTATTTAAAATTCCATTGTTAGTTCAGATGAAACAGTACTCCCAGCTGGTAAGGTTAGTGGATGAAAAATAATAACAATAATAATAACCATCTAAAACATGAATCATCAGTAAGGAGTGAAGATAATCACCTCCAAAAATGTGGTTGTTGTTAATTTCAACAAATCAAGTAAAGCATCATGACGGCCATACAAAGCGCCACTTCCGCATTCTCTGCAACGTCGCATTAGCTCAGAGATAGCTAAAACTGTTGACAAGTTTCAGCTGCAAGCTGAACTGGGAAGTGTAATGTGTGTAATGTTAAAGCGGAGTTCCAGTGCAAATGTAAAAAAATAAAAGTCAGCCACTACAAAAACTGTAACTGCTGACTTTTAAAAAACAGCCACTTACCTGTCCCTTGATCCTGCAGTGTCCCAGCCCATTTCATTGGCAGCCCTGTGTTCCCAGTGCTGGCATCTTCAGTGTGGGCACCCAGCTGTGACAGCTTGCAGCTTCACAGCCGGGTGCCCACTGCGCATGCGCAAGTAGTGCTGCGCTTTCTGAATGGTCCCATAGTCTTCTTGGACCTGTCACATGTCCCAGAGGACTAAGGAGAGGGAAGAAGAGGGGGAGGACAACTTCCGTTTCCGACTGCCTAGGCAATCACAGTGGAAGTGGGAGGAGGTACCTGTCAATTTCGGGTAGACAGCACCGCCCCCCCCCCCCCTTCACACTCCAAAGGTGCCAAGCCTTAATGGGGAGCAGGGGACCAGTCCTTAACCGCCTCCCGCCTGCCATATAAGGTAATGATGGGCGCAAGGCGGTTCTCTCATTCTGGGAGGATGTCATATGACACAGCGAATCACCGATCAATGGAAAGAGCCGAAGACATCGGCTCTGTCATGCGATCAGCTGTGTGCAATCACAGCTGATCGCATGTAAATAAGGAAATGCCGGTTATCTGCATTCCTCTCCTCACGAGCCGTCACGCTGACAGCTCGTGAGGAGAGGAGAGCCAGTAATCGGCATCCCTCAGAGGGGACATGTACAGTGCCACATCAATGCCACATATCAGTGCCCATCTGAGCTGCCTTTCAGTGCCACTTATCAGTGCCAGTCAGTGCCGCCTATCAGTGCTGCCAATCAGTGCCACCTATAGTGGCAGTCAGTGCCTCCTATCAGTGCGCATCAGTACCACCTAACAGTGCTAGTCAGTGTCGCCTATCAGTGCCACCTATCAGTGCCATATATGAATGCTGCCTTTCAGTGCCCATCAGTGATGCCTGTCAATGCACATCAGTGCCACCTACCAGTGCTTCCTCATCAGTGCCCATCAGTGCCACCTATCAGTGCCCATCAGTGCAGCCTATCAGTGTCCATCACTGCAGCCTCAGTAGCGCACATCAGTGAAGGAGAAAAATTACTTACTTACAAAATTTTATAACAAACTAAGAAAAAAAGGTTTTTTTTTCAAAATTTTCAGGTGTTTTTGGTTTGTTTAGCAAAAAATAAAAAACCCAGAGGTAATTAAATACCACCAAAAGAAAGCTCTATCTTTCTCAAAAGAATTATAAAAATTTCATATGGGTACAGTGTTGCATGACCGCGCAATTGTCATTGAAAGAGCAACAGCACTGAAAGCTGAAAATTGGCCTGGGCAGGAAGGGAGTATACTGTAAGTGCCCGATAGGCAAGTGGTTAAAGCATAACTTCCCCTTTTGGGATTGAGCTTGGCTTTAAAAACCTAGATTTAACCATAAACAGATATTTCATTTTTTCAAGCCCTGTGCATACTAAGCACTTGTGTGTGTGTGTGTTGGTTTTTTTTTAATGTTGTTAAGTGCTAGTGCAGCTTGACGAATGTGAGCTCTAAAAAGAAGTGTGCTTTGTGGTAGTCTGGCAAGATCCTCTCCAGTGTCATCTCCACAACTGTAGAGAATGTGTCAAAACACCTAGTAGTCCGTCTCCCAAACACTATTTCCTTCTCCAGTGCTCTCTCTCTGTAGACGGTGTGACCAAAATAGGACAGTCATAACTTCATCACTTGGGCTTCTAGTGACATCTCTGGTTTGCTTTTTTAAAAATAAAATACTTAATTTAAATGGTTAGCACTTCCACCTGGCAGTACTAGGGTCGTTGGTTCGTATCCCAGCCACGGCACCTCCTGCCTGGAGTTTGCATGCTCTCCCTGTGCCTGCATGGGTTTCTTCCAGGTACTCCGGTTTCCTCCCACACTCCAAAGACACGCTCGTAGGTTAATTGGATCCTGTCTATATTGGCCCTAGTATGTATGAATGTAAGTTAGGGACCTTAGATTGTACATCCCTTGAGGGTTAGGGACTGATGTGAATGTACAATATATATGGAAAGCGCTGCGTAAATTGACGGCGCTATATAAGTACCTGGAATAAAATAATTAATTTTTTCATCTTTTGTTGCATCTCAGCACTACAGATCTCTTGCATTCTCTTTTCAGCCGCTTGCTGTCCTCATGCGTGGCATTTCTCAGGGTGGGTTTCCCGACAATGAAAATGGTGGACCGTGATCACATAATGTGCATTAAAGTAGCCACATGTGGTTACAAGCCGGTATGACAGGGTGACAATGTAGAAGCACATTTTGGAGACAGTGACGAAGGGCTGTCACCCTATTATAGGAAATGCATGAACAAGGGCCTTTAGGGCAGGATCAACAGGTCAAATTAGAACAAAGGTGGTAGATTTAAAAATCTTGATAATAGTTTTTTAAATGACATAAAAAAGTTCCTATCAGATTTTAAGTGATTGAGTTCTACTTGAAGAAAATATCTAGTTCAGCAATGTATCAGATATTGCATGTTAGAGGGTGGCACATAGGTTATTCATAGAAACATTCAGTTGACATTTGCATTCTCTTTTCGGTCAGAAGCCCATCTTCATGTTGATTGTCCTTACTATTCGGAAGAACATGCCATAACTAATAGTTCACCAAAAGCCTGAGAGCCAAATCTTGCCTCGCCCTGATCAAGATCAACTGCTAAAAACTGGAACTGTGCAGCGTTTACCCTGTAAACCTCAACAGCTTGTTCTTGCTTGCTTTTGGTGTTGAGAGCATTTTTGGTGGCGATTCAGTAAAATCAATCTGTTTTTAATCTGCTTCTAAAAGCAAAAATCCCCAGTAAATGCATGATAAGTTAATACCTGCCATACAAAATGGCTGACACTAATGACAACCGGAGCCGCGTTCATGGTACTGCTTAATTTCTCTTTTGACACGGTTATCTAAAAGAAAGCTTTATTGATTGTGTCACTATGTTTCAGCCTTTGGATCCTCCTGTATGTTTTGTTTTAGACTTGTACAGGACTGTAAGTGCACTATGCCAAAATGGCTCTGTTCGGGGATATCTGAGGTATGACACAATGCTTGTACATATCAGGAACAGCTTAAGCACTCTTTAATAACTGCACAGAAATGCCAGCTTGGCTGCTCCACGCTGAAGTCATCTCTGTAGACAATCTATGTGTCAGAACTGGGAAATGGACTTAAATAAAAATACATTCAATATACGCATTATATTTTATCTGGATCAGACTTGGTCTTCATTTATTTTTCTAATGCAGTAAAGGTTTCCTTTTAAAATGGTTGCGGTATGTGTAATGTTCAACACATAGGAGATGCCAAGCTGCAGACATCATGAGACAAACTGTTCAATGGAGAAGGGCTGCCTTCATAAAATGCCATGTCTACTTAAGTTGGGAAGGGAACGAGTGGGTGGGAGCTGGATTAAGGCTTTAAGAAAAAAGAAATATAAAAGATCAATTGAAAAACTTTAAAATAAAAGCCCAAATAAAAGTGACCCAAATCAATTACAGCTACTGCACATTCACTGGTAAACAAATTGCTCTACTTAGAAAGCATGTTGTTAAAAGGATCCATCAATCATATTCGTTGGCATTTGTTAAAATGTTCTTCAACAGGAACTAGTACTTACTGTTCTATTCACCGTAACCCCGCAATATTCACCACACAATCACAGAAAACCTGTCAGGAAAGGATAGTGCAGGTGACTCTGCGCATGTGCAGTCCTTACGAGCCAAACAGATGTGCAGGCACTTAGACATAGGCGCACTCGCACTTAGAGGCGTGCGCCTGTCACTAATGCTGGCACCAAAGGGCTATTTAAACTGGCTGCAGTAGTTGTCTCATTGCTGTATGGTCTTATCCCTGCGATTCCTGTGATTGTCTCCTGATACCAAACCAGCTTGTTCCTGACCTCCGCTTGATCGCTACCTGCCCTGTCCTCTGGCTTGCCTTGGATTATCCTTCTGTCTCTGCTCCTGTCTGACTGATCCTCCGTTGCTGACCTGGTCTGTGACCCGACTACTCTTCCTCCTGTCGCTTTAAGCCTGATCTGCCTGACCGATACTGAACCCAGCTCGTCTGACCCTGCATCCTCAGCACGCTGCTCTCGGGTATCCATCCACCCCGCACGGCTGAATCAGAACCCTGCTCCCTGCCTACAACTCATCAGCTTACCAGCTATTATTGGACTGATCACAGGTATGTTGTATGGGAGGCCTGCCTCTTCACGTCAGGCTCACTATCCAGGTACGTGACAAAACCTTTACAGAGCCATTATATCATTCTGTGGTCACAGATCTCACCAAAATGCAAAAACATATGAAACTCCATAATGATGTTGTAATAGCAACTTTGGGAATTCCAGGTAAAACTCCGGACACGAACATGAGGAAAACAAGCTTTATTAACCACCTGGTGACCTAGCCAGACTAACATCTGCAAAGCTAAGTGCCTTGAAAAAGCATCTTACAGGGTATACATGTCAGCAATTACACCACAATGCATATATTTCCTCTTTTTCTTTCTGTACATTTAAATGACTTTCTAAGCAGTGCATGATATGGCCCTGCTAGATAAACTATCTTCAGCTGAAAATAGGGGTTCAGCTACAGACTGGAACACATTGTTTCACAGGAAATAAGGGAAGGGGGAGGGAGTGAGCTGATGACCTTGCTTTTCAAACAGATGCTGTTAAAAATGCTAAAACTTAAGGGGAACTCTTCAATATTTGGGTGCTGCCACAATGTCACAAAGTATCTGCACAAAATAATTTGTAAAAAATCTCCACTAGAAAACTAATAAAAGTTTAAGGAAAATATCCCATGGCTGTTGCTATATTAAATCAGCCCAACAAAATGATAAAATAAGATTTTTGTAGTTATAGTAAAAATCCATTTCTTAGAGTCCATTGAGGGGCACAAGAATTCAGAGTGTTGGGTTTTACTGCTGCCTACAGGAGGATGGGACAAGTGAAAACGAAAAAAACTTTAAAAACAAAAGACAAATAAAAGTGACCCAAATCAATTACAGCTACTGCACATTCACTAGTAAACGAATTACCCTATTTAGAAAGCATGTCATTAAAAGGATCAAGCAACATTCATTGGCATTCGTTAATGTGTTCTTCAACAAGAACTAGTAATTACTGTATTATTCACCATAACCCACCAATATTCACCAATCACAGAAAACCTTTACAGAGCCAACAACATGTCATTCTGTTTTCACACATCTAAGGAAAATATCCCATGGTTGTTGCTATATTAAATCAGGCCAACAAAATGATAAAATCCATTTCTTGGAGTCCATTGAGGGGCACAGGAATTCAGAGTGTTGGGATTTACTGCTGCCTACAGGAGGATGGGACATGGAAAAATGAAAAAACTGTGGGCCAGCCTAGTATAACCTCTCCAACCCTAAGCATGCTTTAGTTTTGTGGTAAAGCAGTACCAAGAGCATGATATACATGGAGAGGTAGGACCCGTGTCCCTCAGTGGACCCCAAGAACTCAATTTTAAGTACAAAAACCCTATTTTTTTTTTTCTCGGCCATTGAGGGACACAGGAATTAAGAGACTGTTGGATTGTCTAAAAGCAGTCCAACTGAGGGATGGACAACAGCAACACAATGTTATCAGGTCCACACAAAAAATAACAGAATTGTAGACTGCTGCATCTCAAAGAAATACTTAAACAAAAACCTTGTACCTGAAGGTAGGATCGGATGAGGTCCTAACATCCAGCTGGAAGAACTTGGAAAACGTATACAGAGGATCAGGTGGCAGCCTTGAGAACCTAATTGATGCCAAAAATTGCCCAAGAAATGTTCTCAGATCCAGTAGATTGCAGTCTGACAGGGAAGGATGGAACCTGATCCTTAAGAGCACAAACCTGTCTTCCAAAATTTGAATTTCAAATAGAATAAATGTGAATTCAAATAGAATAAATTAGAACAGAATAGCA